TCATGGGTTTGTTCATTCAGTGAACATGAATAATTTGGTTGATAAATATAGAGAAGAAAAGAAGTTTATTCAAATAGTCTTGTTTTTGAGAACACAGCAGAAATACCAATAGAATAGATGAACGTGTCAGGATGATGAAAGAATATATTTTCATTAACATATTCCACAGTTGCACTATATGTTTTATCCTAGGAAAAAATTATTACCTATACAGAAATTAACATAAAAGCCATTCTGAAAGCCAGAAAAGTATCAGTCTGATGGACATGAATCTGAAATTTCTGACAAAAAAAGAGATGATACTGTATACACATTTTTTCCCCAGTTTTCCTCCCCTCTCCATCTCAGTTACATTTGAATCCAATACTCATCTACAATGCTGGATATAAACCTAGACATAGAACATATATTGACAGTAAACTGTGCATTAAACACACACCTACACACACATCAAAATACTTAGAGTTTGCCTCTCACTTATTTTGAAGCTCCATCTAGCACAGTCAACTCCTTTCCCATTTAATATAATTCAGCGCTAAAGAGAATGGTCAGAGATAGGGCAAGAGATCTCCTAAATAAGCAAATATACATGGCATTAATCATATGTAGTTTCCATCAACATTTTCCATTTTGTGTGTAAAACAGACTGTAATTGTCTCTAGGATATGTGTCTGGTTGTGTATGTGAATCAACCTTATCCTGTCTGCAGCTTTTTTATTTTATTTATCCTAGTGATGGTAGCATAGGGGACAAGCTCCAGCACTTTGAATTTAATTCCCAGTACGTATCCATTATTCACTCTTAAAAGCCTGGAAATGGAAGCATTGCTAACCATGAAAGGAGTGTCTATGAAATTCAGGGTTCTTTGTCTGCATCGATGCTAAATCAATTATATTATTATTCTGATCCCATTAAGTACAGCCATCATCATTTTCTTGATTATAACCATTTGAATAGGTGAGTGTATATTAAGAAAGGATTGCGTACTAAAAAAGTTAATAAAGACTGCCATGTCCACCCTATTCTCCTACAGAAGCAGAGTTAATTATAAATGGTGTCTCTGATGCATGTAAGTTTTGTCTTTAAAAACAAAGCCTACTATTAAATAAGACAGGATCAACATTAGTCTCATATATTTGGCATTTCTACCTACTTCTGAAAACCTTATTATTGTAAAAAAAAAAAAAAAATAGAATCTTCTCATTCTATCTGGATAGTTTAATTCAGTATTAAGACTTCAGGAAGATGAAATGTCTAACTTCTGGAAACCTTACGTCAGAGCTGAACATTTAAAAAAATTGTGTATTTTTATCTTATCCTTTTTTTGTTGTTTTTGTTTTTAATCTTTCAGTCAAAAAGCAAATTACAATTGAATTATACTTTTTAGTACAGATACAGAATAAGACCAATAGATCTGATTGCTCATTTCACCATCCAGTGTCAATCTCCATAATTTGCTGTGAATTAAATTGAAGGGGGTAGACCGGTGAAGGGGAAACCTGCAATTTCTCAAGAACATCCACATTCTCATTTTTAAAGCTCTTGAATAAAAACTAAACGCTATTCCACACATTTTTTTTTTTAATTGAGGTGAATTGGCAGGATAAATAGAACAACTGAAAGTCAATGTTAGGCATTTTTATTCACAAATTAAGCTCTGAAATAAGAAAGTGAAGAGGAATGGAAAGGAAGAGGTGGAGCTGAGAGTTGGATCTTGCTGGATTTTTCTTCTGCCAGGGAATCTGCATGCAGATACAATGGTTTTCAGCTTACTAACACCTTTGGGGATGGTGTTATGGAGCTATCTTTTTTTAAAAGACATAACAACCATCTATAGTTCCAAGAACTGCAAGATCAATTCCTCAAGAACTGAAACAGGTAATTGTTTTGGGGCTAGGAGGAGTGTTGCATTTTAAAACATCTTTTAAAAACCCTCCAGTGGCTCTGTAGGTTATATCATAGTAGGCAAGGTCAAAAATTGGGGGGCTTTTTTGTTTTTTTGAAGGGCTGAATGGGGGGTTTTAATAGATATACAGCTGTTTTTCTCCTTTGAAGTGCCGTCCTGAAAAAAAGAAAGTTGTCAACATAAACTGGAGATGCAGTAGTTCCATATATGGCATGTAGTAAGCTCGTCCTGCTGTTGAGTACCTGAGTGGATATATTTATGATTTTGTAAAAGTAAATTACTAGACCAGTGTTACTCAGCCTTGGAAACTTTAAGATGTGTGGACTTCAACTCCCAGAATTCCACGCACGCCGACTCGCTGGCGTCGGGTAAGTTCGTCGG